GAAATAGGATCCGGCTAAATAACACCTTTATTTACTAGAAAAACAACCTATATTAAAAAAACAACATTGGTCAAATGTCATTATTATATTAATGATGTTCTAACAATTTAAAAAGATATTTCGATAATAAAACAATAATTATACTATTACTTTTTAATAAGTAAATAAATTGAGCCAAAAAGTAATCATTAACAAATAAAACATAGTTTTTTTAATATAAAATAATTGAATTTTCTTTTTCTAAAAACGTTTATTGTTTATTAAAAAACTATTGCTAAATATGTTAAATATGTTATATAACAAATTAATAGAAAAAAAATAATTAGCCGACCCACCACAAATAGTCCAGCCCATCGTTTACTTATAAAATTAAATTCAAAACCCTAAAATTATGTTCACTTCTAAATCGTTATCTCAAAAATATTACAGCCGCCGACAAAGACCACCGGCACCACCTACGCCAACGGAGCACCGTCATCCGCCGTACAAACACCCAACAGGACCACTACCTCTAGTTCCGACCACTTTTCATATGTCCCTCCCTCAACTTGTCTCTCGATTTGTCTTTTTGTTTTTCTCTTATGGCGGTGGCCAGCGGTATGCCGCCGGCGTTTTGCTCTTTGTCTTTATCTTCGTTGATCTCTCTCTCTCTCTCTCTCTCTCTCTCTCTTTTTCTGTTTCTATTATCTCTCGACAGTCACCGACCGTGTCTTCGGCGGACGGCGATAGTCGCGGGCGGCGGCGGTGGGAATGGTTGGAGGTCTCTTTTTGCTATAATGTATATTATTGGAGTGGTGTTATTATATTACTAACTGAAAAAAAAAAGTTAATTAGATGTAAAAAAAATGTACCGCATGTAGAAAAAAAAAGAATGCAACTAACTGAAAAAAAAATTAACTGAAAAAATGGCCAAATATCTCAATAATTTTCAGTTCGGGGTCGGGGTGTCGGGTGGCGCTGAAGCCTTATTACATAGCGCCAACAGGGTGTTGAGTGAACGCCACAACGACGGGTCTCTTTCCATGCTTACTGTGGACTTCTCCAATACCTTTAACCTTGTTGACAGATCCGTATTACTTCATGAGGTCAGATTGAGGTGCCCTTCTATATCCTTGTGGGTAGAATTCCTATATGGTCAAGCAGCAAGGTTATATCTAGGGGACACACATATTTGGTCTTCTACTGGAGTTCAACAAGGAGACCCATTGGGACCACTTCTCTTTGCCCTTGTGTTGCACCCGCTCTTGCATAATATTAGAGACAATTGCAAGCTTCTTCTCCATGCATGGTACCTGGATGATGGCACACTTATTGGAGATTCTGAGGAGGTGGCCAAAGCCTTAGACATCATTAAGTCTATTGGCCCAAAATTGGGCCTTCAATTAAATATCAAGAAAACCGAGCTCTTTTGGCCCTCGTGTGATGGAAGGAAGCTGCGTGAGGGGCTATTCCCGGTTGGCATCGGGAGGCCGCCATTGGGGGTGAAACTTCTCGGGGGAGCTATTAGCAGAGATGCTAGTTTCATTAGCAACTTAGCCATAAAGAGAGCTGAAGGCGCTGTAAATTTGATGCGCCTTCTTCCATAATTGTCTGACCCGCAGAGTGAGCTCCTTCTACTTCGGTCTTGTATGGGTATTGCTAAACTTTTCTTTGGGCTGAGGACATGCCAACCCGTTCACATGGAGGAGGCGGCGTTGTTCTTCGATAATGGATTACGCGGGGCGATTGAGGACATTGTGATTTGTGGTGGCCCCTTCTTTGGCGACTTGCTTCCCTACCCATTCGGTTTGGTGGTTTGGGTTTATACTCGGCAGTAGAGGCTACCTCATATGCTTTTGTTGCCTCAAGGGCCCAATCTTGGGTATTGCAAGACCACATCTTACGGGATAGCGGCATTTATGGTATGGATTCTGATTATGCTTGTGCCTTAGACTCTCTTCGTAACAAGCTTCCGGACATTGACCTTAGCAGTTTTACTACTAAGAACACCCCCCCCCTAAATCCCAGAATACACTGGCGAGTGCCCTTTTTAGTAAAATTATCCAAGATATGGAAGTGAATTTCAATATGACGGCTCGGCAGAAAGCAGTTTTCCAGTGTTTACGTGCACCACATGCTCAAGATTTTCTTCTAGCTATCCCTATAGATGGGCTTGGCCAACATATGTCTCCGGTGGAGTATCGTACCATCCTCAGATATCGACTCATGATTCCAATATTCCCAGCCGATGGGATATGTCTGGTGTGCCGCAAGGCATGTTTGGACTCTTTTGGCGAGCATGCAGTTCATTGCAAAGAACTCCCGGGGTTCAAATACAGACACGATATGGTTAGGGATGTTTTGATCGGCATATGTAAGCGTGTCGGGGTTTCCGCCAAGAAAGAGGCTCCTGTGAATTTCCTGACTGACCCGACAGAAGGAAGGTCAACCCTTAGACCGACTGACGTTTTGATTTTTGGATGGGTTAAAGGGAAACACGCATGTGTGGACCTTACTGGGGTATCCCCTCTCGTAAGTTTGAGTGTCGGGGGTTTCACGGCTGGACAAACTGCATTAAAAGCTGTTACATGTAAGGTCACCAAACATGAGAAACCGTGTATGGAAAATCAACACGCGTTCATACCATTTGCATTTGATACGTTTGGCTTCCTTGCGGTGGAGCTTCTTAGTAGACTACAACGGATTATGCATAACAATGTTATATCCCCTAGATCTATGGATGTAGTCTTCAAAAGAATTTGCTTTATCATACAAAAGGGCTTAGCGGCGCAACTTGTTGCCCGTTTGCCTTCTCATTCGTTTTATGATGATAACTAAAATATCTATTTTTATCAAAAAAAAATTAATGGCAAAAAAAAACTGAAAAAAAATTAATTAGATGTAAAAAAATACGCATGTTAAAAAATAATAATAATAAATAAAGAATGCAGTGTATGGATTGTTTTTGCTACACAATTTACAATGTCGTCACAGATTATAGTCTTTGAGATTTAATAGTGTGTTTATTTAATAGAAAAAGCTAATAACGTGTTTATGGGTTGTGTATTTAGTAACACCTTTATTCTAATGCAAAAGTCAAAGGGGTTTTGGTTAGGGTGGGGGTATGGTACGGGGTACACCTTCCAATAAACATTGAATTTGAGATAACGTGTCAACCCGTGACTCGTTAAATCTTCTTAAATTGACCAAACTATCCTTCCCTTATTCCTTGACCATACTCCCATGCTTGCATTTGCAGGTGTCCTTTCATGGAAAAAAAAAAAGAGAAGACAATCAATCTGACCCCAACCAACTAGAGTTGTGTACACTTTCTCCATTATTGAACCCAACCCTACTTAAGATGTGGACCATGGCCTCCGCCACCCACCAATGAGTGGTCCACAACCCTACATTATTAACCCTTTGAGACGATAACTATTCGTACTATATCTATATGACTATGTATAAAATCGGTGCATTGTATTATTCTATATTTCTATAAACCATACATATTTGTGTATATTGTTCGATACTAGCATTTTTGGATAATAACATAACACCATTGATTAGATTTTTGTTTTGAAGTTATGAGTTTGAAGCTCAAGAAGAAACGACCTTAAACTATTTGGGTTAATAACCCTTAAGTTTACTAGGTTTTATGTCAACGGTTTTAAAATATGAGTCATGTAACATGTTCTTATGTATTTTAACATGCATGAACCAAACTAATTAACATATTTTATTGTTAATTATAGGAGTTATGTATTTGCTAGCACGTTCTCAAAGCTAAAGTTTTAGGTTAACGAGCTCCTCTTATCTTGGAAAACATACCATTCGTTATTAGGTTCATGGTAAACTCTTTTAATATTTTTTATAAATTTTCATGTTTTTATCAATCAACTTCTTAATTAAATTTTAGTAGGATTTAAATTATTATTATTTAATAATCTTGTAATGACATATTATATTTGGAAAGTGATCTATACACAACAACTTTTTACCCTACATAACAATTTATGTTTTGATGGATTGTATAAATTTGGACAAAACTTCAAAAATGGTACCTGTGGTTTTCGAAAATTTGAAGTTTAGTCCCTAATTTATAAAAACCTCACAGATGGTCCCTGTGGTTTCAAAACTTTTAACAAATAGTTCTTTTCGCTAACTCCGTTAACATTTAGCCGTTAAATGATGGGCATTTTTGTCATTTCACAACCACAGGGACCATTTATGAAGTTTTGTCTTAATTTTTTTTTAAAAAGAGAAAAATAAATATAATTATTTAATATTAAAGGGCCTCTCTCTCTCTCTCCCTCTCTCTCTCTCCCTCTCTCTCTCTCCAACAACCCCACCCTTATTCCCTTCTTCCCCACTCTACCCCTTTCTCTTTGTTTTTCTCTCTTGCATTCACAGGAAGAGCACCTACAACCCAAAATAAAAAGGGAAAATTCAATCCCCGTTATCATATAACTTCACCTCCTCCACATTCGTCCGTAATTTATGATCTTCATTATTGCATCATCGTAACCATATCTGTTTGAAGTTTGTTGATTCTACAGTAATTCTCGGATCTTATCATTGCATATTTGTGAATAAATCTGCTCGATTGAATGTATAATATGGTGGAACAAGGCAATGTTTTGGTTCTATCATTTCATCGAACACTTTATGTGCATAGCTAGTCTGGTAATTTATTATGAATGAATGCACAATGATTCATCCATACCTTGGTATATGAAATTCAACAAATAACAGGGGCATGTGCAGGGATGAAGGTATGGAATTGAGGAGATTAACAAACAAGTGCTTAGAAATGTGGTTGCTGAAACTAAGAAAGGATTCATCTATTTTGCGCGTGAAGCACTGAAACACATACCTCTTCTTGTCGGGTTGGGATCATATGGAATAAGAAATTGTTCGTAGCTAATTTGGGTGATTCCAGAGCTGTTTTAGGGTGTGCGAATCCACGAAATTTAAGCAAAGTCATCGCCCAGCCACTTACAAACGATCATAATGCGAGCATGATGGAAGTGAGACGAGACCTGCAACTCGATCATCCAGAAGACCCCAACATTCTCGAGCGGCTGCTTCTCTCTCTTGGAGAATTGTTAGGACTCTTTAATTGGAGTGAGTCCGGAGATGTCGTGGAGGCTGGAAGTCCGAGGATGGAGGAGAGAGCTAGAGCTTCCCACAAAGCTGTTGACGATCCCTTTTCATTGCTTTTGTCTTATTTGGCACCAGAACAGATGCGACCCCCCACTGACGGGACTGCTATGGTGGTCGTCGATGACATTGTGGAGGGTTAGGAGATGTTACGGCTTCCAGCGGTGATAAGGAGGTCGTCAGACCTCCTACGTGGGTTTCAGATTCTAACTCGAAGATAGTGGAGTTGAAGCCTTTGTGTGCGTCTCGATTTAGCTGGATTTGGGTGAAAATGGGGGGGGGGGGGGGGGGGGAGGGTAGGTTCTAGTGTTTCACTGTATATATGAGAGAGAGAGAGAGAGAGAGAGAGAGAGAGGGAGGGAGGGGGTGGGGCCCTTTAATATTAAATAATTATATTTATTTTTCTTTTTTTTTTAAATTAAGGCAAAACTTCATAAATGGTCCCTGTGGTTGTGAAATGACAGAAATGCCCTTCACTTAACGGCTAAATGTTAACGGAGTTAGCGAAAAGGACCATTTGTTAAAAGTTTTGAAACCACGGGGACCATCTGTGAGGTTTATATAAATTAGGGACTAAACTTCAGATTTTCGAAAACCACAGGGACCAGTTTTGAAGTTTTGTCTATAATTTATATATATATTATACAACCTTATAAAACATTAATTATTACGTATGACAAAAAAACTGATAATGATCTATTATTTTTTAGCTTAAAATATTTTTTCCATTCCTCTAATTTTGTTGATGTAGCTCATTAGAAATTTATTATTTTCTTCCATCAATCATGTTAAAATATAAGAGGCAGTTTACAAAAACCATGTAATATTAATTAGGTTTTTACCGCTTGATATATAGATTTTAGTCAAACGTTCTTTACGATGATGTTTTAGAACATTGGTAAGAGGATACACCACTATTAAACTTATTGTAGAATATCATTTCTTTAGTTTTTATTGGAATCACGAGGACGAGTGAGACACCCTACAATCTTTAAATAATAGTATTGGAAAATATTATTAATGGGAAGAAATTGTTTCCTCCAATCATGTTTCATAGTCATTGAAGTTGACCCATAACCTAAACCTTTTTTTTTTTTAAAGTACACTAATTATTTCTTATTTAATATAAAGTGCACTAATCACTTTTGTATGCCCAACTTAAACTGCAAAATGGCCACACATCCTTTGGTAATATATTAAGAGGTTATACCAAGGTTCTAAATAACGTGAGGCGTGGTCTTGGCGGCAAGGTCAAAGTTAAGTCATGTCAAGCCTTGGCGAGCCATGACGTTTTTCAATGCGTGACCATTTTATATAAATTAAAAAATATAAATCATATAATTATTGAATCTTATCAAATATATCAAGTTTTTAGAAGTGTTATATTAATATTTAGTATAAAAAACTTAACAAAAACTCAATTATTTTAGGGCCGATCAGAAAAAACAAAAAAAAAAAAACCAGCGCCATAACACGATAAGGCGCGCCTTGACACGTTATTTGGGCGTCACGCTTAACAAACCCGTCTTGGGCGTTTTCGTAACGGCTAGGTCACGCCTCGCGCCATGGCACGCCTTGAGACGCGTCATGGCACGCTTTTTAGAACCATGGGTTATACAGAAAAAAGTATTTGTGATAAAGGAAACAACCGACACATTATTTATTAAAGACAAAATTTCATAAATGGTCTCTGTGGTGTCTTGAAATCTGAAGTTTAGTCTCTAAGTTTAAAAAATCTCACATATGATCCATGTGGTTTCAAAACTTTTAACAAATGGTCCTTTTAGTTGACGCAGTCATCTTTTAGCTCTTAATAGAATGACATTTTCGTCATTTCACAAAACAGAGACCATTATGAAGTTTTTTGTTATTTAAAAAAAGAAAGGAAAATATAATTACTCTCTCTCTCTCTCTCTCTCTCTCTCTCTCTCTCTGAAACACACATTCATGTATAGAGATGAATCAGTTGTACAAAATTTCTTTTTGTTGGAGAGATGAATATGATGCTTCCTTTTGATAGGTTGCTCTTTTCTTCTATTCAAGCATGAATCGCTCTTGCCTATTTTTCTATGATTTCCCATCTTTTTTTTTTTCCTTTTTTTCCTTATCTGTAAAACCCCTATCTTGATTTCTTTTGTTCTGAATTGATGTTAAAGCAAATGGGTTCTGGTTATGAAGATTTGGTTGTAAATTTGGGAACTTACTTTATCTGCATAAAAACCATAAGACCCACATAAAAGAACAATTTTGAAGTTCTTTTTCATCTTTAGTGTCGGATTTACGATCTTTCTTGACTATTCTTGTTCTTTCCTTTTTCAATCGAATTTAGATACAATAAAAATAAAATCAGTACTTTGATGCTTCAACGTCACTAAGCACATGCTTTTAATCAAATAATCAGGATGCTTACTTTGAAGTTTTGGAGAGAGAAAGATAGAGGAGAGTTCTTGTGACTGGTTTAAGACAGCATAAGAAGACAGAAGATAATATGTAGCAAATGATATCCATTGATGATCATCCACCACCAGATCCTTCATCATCTGACTATCATAATCATCATTAACAATTTTATCATTATCTCAAGATCAATAATGGTGAGCGAGCTTCTACTTTAGTTTCTGATATAGATCTGTTGAAGCATACAAATGTAAATCTTGGTTCTTGAGTAGAATCTATATCTCCCAAATAGTTGTTTCTGAAACAGTTTTTGGGTGTATGTGCTCGAAAGGAATTTCAGCAAATGAGTATGTAGAGAAAGAATCAAAGAGATCATCTAAACTTTTTCTCTATTCTTCAAGAAGGGATGAAGTTGCAGTGGAGGTTGATAATGGCGGCAATGAAGCTACTACTAGGCTTAGTTCATAGGGTAACATAGAACATGTATAGACTTTTTCATTATTTTTTTCTAATATCCATTTTCCATTTTTGGATTTCAGGAATTTCAACAAATGGGTTGTGTTTGTGGCAAACTTTCTGTGACATCCCATAATTTAGGTCTAAATGCGAAAAATTATTTTACAATAAATCTCTTTGTAATTTGACTCATTTAGTTTTAGTGCATCTAATGTAAAATAAATGAGTTCATTTCAAATATTATAAGATACCAGATGATATTTTACTTCAAAATGTGTAAACTGTCAAATGAATCAAACAGCTCAAACTGAAACCCTAATTAATGCGTCTGAAAAACTGAAAATTCGTATTAAGCAGTTATGAGCGAAGAAAACAAAAAAACCTTATAGTACATGTTCCCCTCTTTTCAAAAATATAAAGAACGTCCAAAACGGAGTTCATATGCAAAAGATGCGACAGTTTTAAGAAAACAGACAGTAAAACGCTGATGTTCTTTAATCGAGTATGTAACGCCAGTATTTCAGGCTAAGCATTAGTAAGATGATGTAATAATTAGAGTCAACAATTGTAATCAATTTTGAAGCAAAAAAAAAAAGGATTATTTGAGTATTATGTGAATTATGTGAATTTATGTGGATTAAACTTGTTTATGTAGATATAATAAATTAAGAATGAAAATAAGCGTCGAAAATAAAATAATAGATGAACCAAATATATATGAAGAGAGTTTTAGTGGTCGTGACAAGGATTCCGGAGATATAAAGAACGCCGAAATCTAAGTTATAACGAAGAAGTTATGACCTGTCGAAGTTTCGCGACAAAACCGGTACGGCACTGTGTGACGTACAAAGGTGAGTTTACGATAGAATACATTTTAGCCTTAGCGATCTAAACGAAAGTAGTAGTACACGTTAAACCGAGACCATGAATAAAAAGAACGTCCAAATCTGACTTCGTATGAAGAAGTTATGATTTTTCCAAGATTCGGCATAGCAGTATGCAACCCGGAGTTCGAATGTTAAATCGAATGATTTTTAGGCAACAAAACCTAAACGGGAATTGAAGATCTCGTTAATAGTAGCTCAACAATGGAAAGACAGACGAAAATGGACGTCAGATGACAAAGTTATGAATTTTTAACAGACTTTTTCTGTCCCGGCCTGTTAAAAATATAACTTTAAAAATAGTGTGAAAATTAGCAGACATAGTCTAATTGAAAGTTGTAGAGTACGTCCACCTATGTGTGGATATAAAGAACGTCGAAAACAGAGCTCGTATGCAAAAGTTACGAATTTTAGAAGTCGAGAGGGTGATCTATGAGGTTGATCAGGGAACCCCCCACGCAGAGAAGAGGAACGCCCCGCGTTCGCATGCTTGGCCTCGGATCCGCCATGTCGCCCCAACAGTCTTTGGACATGTAAGCTCCGGAACGCGATGCATACGCAGGTACGCCATGCGTACCGAGGAACGCGCTGCATACCTCTGAAGGTATGCCCTGCGTAACCGAAGCTCCAGCACTATAAAAGGAGGTGCGAGAGTGCCTCATTTTCCACACCTTAAACCCCTTTCTTTCTCTCACTACTCTCTCTCTAACCCTCCCAAACACCCCCAAGCCCTAGGAAACTTCTCTAACGCTAGAAGAAAGCCCCAGAGTGCCCGAAGGCTCCGAGAAAAAGAGTTTTTCGGCTCGAAAAGTTTTGTCCCCGCGGAACCTGGTTTTTAGCAAAACCCAGTGTAAGTGAGATATGTTTATCCTACTTTAAATATAGCTTATATTTAAATTTATTATTGTTATTATGAACTTATAATAAGTATTTGGGGTAGTATTATGACTTATATAAGTGTCATTATAATGCATTTTTAACTACTTGTGGTACGGGGAATCCGGTTTGAAGAGCCGCCTGGGTTGTTGGATTTCAGAAGTGCTAGTATGCCAAAATGGTCCTGTCCTCCGGTGTTTCATGTCTGGCCCTGTCTGTACATAGTAGTTGAGAAGTATTGTTTAACGCTTATATAATAATAGTAATACCAAGACTAATAATTAGTCACGGTGAATGTTAGACTAAAATCTAGTTGTAATGATACCAGGTTTCGTCAAAGGAAAGTAAATTAATAGAAATGAAACGTTGTATGAGTTCGAAATCACCACTTCAACAGGTGAGTGCATAGTTACTTTCATCTTACATATAGATATGAAGTATTTAATATAAATTACATGCTATGTGTGCATATTATCTGTATATTTGCTATCTATGCTGGATGAAAGATTTTATACATGTTTTAATTGATT